GTTATATATTTGTTTAATAGAATATTTAATATTTAAGTATATTTAAATAGATATACTATTATTTAATGTGTTCTATATGGTTAACTTAAGTGTTAATTTAATTGTTAAATGAAATATTATAGTACTTATACTTGAAGAAAACAAATAGATATCAATAATATAGCACCCGAGTGGTTGGGGCACTCCTTGCAACCATAAGGTCTTGGGTTTAACATTTGTTGAGGGGCAAATGTTTTAATTTTGATATTTTAACATTTTAATGTCTAGATAATAAAATAATAATAAAAAACACCACATGATAAAATAAAATGCTATATATATATATATATATATATATATATATATATATATATATATATATATATATATATATATATATATATATATATATATATATATATATATATATATATATATATATATATATATATATATATATATATATATATATATATATATATATATATATATTCATCAGAGCATTACACATCACATTAAAAACAAAAATAAAATAGAAAAGTCAAATCTGTGTTTTTGGTCCCTTAACTATACTATTGGGTTAAGGTAGATCTTTAATTTTTTTTCTCGAGTCAGATTGGTCTTTTAACTCTTAAAATGTATCATGTTAGTCCTTTTGTCTAATTAGCGACTGTTTTTTTTTTTTTTTTTTTAATTTTTACCAACATGACACGTTTTAAGAGTTAAATGATCAATTTGACACGAAAAAAAAATAAGGGAAAAATATGAACTCAAGAATATAGTTAAGGGATCAAAAAGAATATTTTGCCTAATAATAATAAAGAGTACGTATTAACGTGTCAATATTATTTTGGCGTTTGTGTTTGGTCTATCTATTTATGAGTGATTTATAAGTTGTGAAAATGGAGGAGAGTCATGAAATAGGTAAGAGTTTTTTTCTTATTTTTTTATTTTATCTTTTCAAATTGAAGGGACTGGTCGGTAGAAATAATGATTGAAAAGGGTAGGATATGGGGAGAGAGACATTGTAGCTAGGGGTGTTCATGGGTGCGGGTCGACCCGCAAACCCGCCTACCCAAACCGAACCAACTCACTAATTACCCGGACCCATTCATTTACGGGTATACCCGACCCAACCCGTAACAACCCGTATAGATTTGGTTCGGGTATTGGGTTTTAGTTTCTAAACCCATGAACCCGTTGACCCAACCCGTTGACGTGGCATAATTAATTATTATTATTATTATTATATTATTATTTATAAATTTTAAAGTTGCTATAACTTTGTAAATTGCAACGTACACAAAGATCTTTTCCACTTTCCTTCCAGTTTCCAATCACACATTAAATTATTATTATTATTATAATTAAACATTATTATTAATATTAATCATGCTTGCTAGACCAATATTGGACCAATACATCTATGTCATTTTAAGACTAAGTGATGTTTATTTGCTTTTGAATTATTTAGAATTTATGAATTTTATGGAAATGATATTTTATGGAATTTTATATATTATTAAGTGTTAATATATATGATAGTTTACGGACCTACTTTTAAGCATGTGCTAGAAAAGGTAACATTTGAGTATCAAAACAACTAATATATACGGTATATTATTATATATTTGTTTTACATATGTTGATATATATTTGTAATGGATAACATTTGAGTATCAAAATAACTAATAAATTTTTATAAATTAAGGTATATTAATGAAAATATATAAATAATTAATGGTGTATATGTATCTTAATATTTTTTATGACAAAGAAAATACATTTCAAAATTTTAATTGTTATATTTTTAATTATTCTATTTTATATGTAGGATTTGTCTCCACTACGTAAATAATTTAATTGTTTGAAATATGCAAAATTATATTGAATTGTGTTATAGATTTTTTAAATTGAAAATAATAATTATTATATACATAACCCGTGGACCCAACCCTACCCAACCCGTAAATATCCGGGTTGATTCGGGTCGGTTTTTAAAGTAGAATTACGGGTTTGATGATAAACCCAACCCATTGAAAGTTGAACGGATTGGGTAACGGGTTAAGGCGAACCCGGTCCAACCCAACCCGCGTACCCCCCTATTTGTAGCTAGAGGGTAAAGTTAATGACAAAAGAGAGTGAACAGATGCGGCAGTGATTAAAAGATGACATACAATTCTTAGTGTGTGTTCACTTCTCTTTCTGTGATCTTCTCATCTATTTAATGCATTTCTCTTCACTTGACATCATCATCACATATGGTCATTTTTTTAAGGGCCATTAACAAGTGATGCATATGTCTTCTCTATTGTAGGTAAATGTGATAATATATTTGGTTGTGGTTTTTTCCTTTGTAGTAGCTAGCTAGGTTTGGAGTGGATATACAAGAATTCAAATAAGCACCCATCTTTCTTAATTATCAACAAATTTGCTATTTTTACACCAAGGTGTACACTTACACTGTATATGAATAGTGCAAATATATTTAAAAAATGACAAAGTGTACAAGCTTGCCACTTAATATTGAAACATCATTTTCTTCTGTGGGTCATAGTCAAATGAAGAAATTTATTGTTTCTCTCTTTTAAGCTCAATCACATATGCTGTAATTTATAACATAAAGTATGTTAACTCATTCTTCTTCTTGTTCTTGATCATTCGCGCCATTCTTTAGCAACTCTTCTCCAACTTGTCTTTTCATTTTATCTGCAACTTTTCTTTTCATTTCATCTCCAACTTTTCTTTCTTTAGCATCATTATGTTATGAAGATGAAGATTTAACTCAGTAAGTTTCTAGATTCATGATTGTTCATATGTTTTTAGATTTAGCACAATATTAACCTAGTTTTCTTTACTATTATTAATTTCATATTTATTCACGATTATTCATTAACCATGTTCTAAAGAGTATTGCCCTACTTTACTCACACCATTAACCATGTTTACCTACTGCTAAACGATTGCATATATTTACTCATGCTGGTTTGTTAACCAATTTGGGAATTGTATTAACCAACTTTTGTCACACTATTAACCAACTTCATAATAAACAATGTTATAAACCTGCCCACATGTCTAGGTATTTATTAACCAAGTTATAGAGAATATTAACCATAATTTTGAACTATATTAATCAACATTGTTATAAACTTATACTATGCATAATATTGACATTTATGTGCAGTTTTTAAGTCATAATGGACAGTTCAAGCATTTTGATAGAATGTGATAGTAGTCAAAGGGAAGATGTAGAAGTTGATCACGCTAATGGTGATGAATCACTTTGGGTTCCTGCAATTGAGATGTGTTTTTCATGTCTATAGGAAGTTAAAACATATTATCAAGAGTATGCTTTGAAAAAAGGGTTTGGATGGAGGATTAGATCATTGAAAAAAGGAGACGACGGGGAGCTCAATTACATGATACTTTCATGTTCAAGAGAGGGATCTAACATTTCAAAAATTTCATGCACATTGAAAACACTTCCATCTAGAGCAAAAAATTATCCTGCCAAGATTTGTATTAAATTAAAACAAGATGGTTTATAGTATATTACACAATTTGAGGCAAACCATTCTCACGAGACTAGTCCTACAAAAGCAAGATTATTCAAGGCTAACAAGAAAATGAGTTTAAATGTAAGGAGAACAATTCAAATCAATGATGATGCGAGAGTAAGGATCAACAACACTTTTCAATCGCTTGTTAAAGATGTAGGAGGGCATGAAAATATTCTCTTTTGTGAAAAAGGTGTGAGGAATTATATTAAAAAAGAACATCGTGCGATTGGAAAAGAAGGTGATGGTAAGGCTTTGATAATTTATTTTTGTAAAATGCGGGAACAAAATACAAATTTCTTTTATGACATAGATTTGGATGATGATTTTCATGTGAGGAATGTATTTTGGACGGATGCAAGAAGCAGAACTACGTACGAATACTTTGGAGACGTTGTAACTTTTGACATAACATACTTGACTAACAAGTATGACATGCCTTTTGCTACATTCGTGGGTGTGAATCACCCTGGTCAATCAATATTACTTGTTTGTGGATTGCTATCAGGTGAAGACACGAATTCTTTTGTGTGTCTTTTCAAGTCATGGTTTCGTTGTATGCTAGAAAAAGCACCTTTGGGCATTGTGACCGATCAGTGTAAGGCTATAAAAATGATATTGAGTTAGTATTCCCTACAACTCGTCATAGGTGGTGTTTATGGCATATAATGAAAAAAGTTTCAGAAAAGCTTAGCGGATATAAGGAATACAAAAGGATCAAGTATGCAATGAAAGTAGTGTATGAACATTCACAACAAACAGTTTTGAACAAAAATGGTGTTCGTTCATAGAAAAATTTGATCTCCATGAAATGATTGGTTGGGTGGGTGGTATATTGAGCGTCATAGATGGGCACCAACGTTGTTAAGAAAATATTTTTGGGCTGGTATGTCAACTACGCAGTGTAGTGAGAGCATACATGCTTTCTTTGATGGATATATCAATTCTTCAACAAGTCTAAATCAGTTTGTGAAATAATATGATAATGCTCTTAGAAGTCGGGCAAAAAAGGAATTTGAAGTTGATTTTAATTCGACGGACACAACAATTACATTTAGGTCAAACTCGTCCATTGAGAAGCAATTCCAAAATGAGTTTACTAATGCCAAATTCAAGGAAATTCAAGTGGAATTCAGATCTAAGATGAAGTGTCCTGCCTCATTAAATAGTGTGGAAGGTTGCCTTGCTACATATCATATGTTAGAAGAGATACTAGTTGGAGACTTATGTAAAGAGCGAGTCTTAAAAGTTGTGGTTAATAAGGAAAACCATGATTTCAAATTTGAATGCTCATTATTTGAGTTTCGAGGTATTGTATGTCGGCATGTGTAATCCGTGTGTAGGCAAGAGAGGATTATAAGTCTTCCATAGAAGTATGTTTTATCGAGATGGAAGAAAAACATTAAAAGGAAGAATTCATATATCAAGACTAGTTATGGTGTAATGGAGCTGAAGCCACAAATGGACAAGTTTGACAAATTATGCAAGCATTTTTATGAGGTTGCTGAAGTAGCTGCTGAGTCAAAAGAGACTATCGAAGACCTCCATGAAACATTATGTTTGTTTAGCTCTAATATGTCCATAAAGGATAGTACACTTATTGAAGAAAATGGTGACAAGGATTCTAATGCAATAAATAGTAATAGAATTCGTAGGCCAAAACATGTCAAGCAAAAAGGTCATCCTCCATCTAAAAGAAAGACGTCCATTGCTGAAACGATTACTAAGAGGTCAAGGAAGGGAACGAAAAAATGATCACATTGAGCTTACTATGGTATCCCTATTTTCATGCATAAATGATATCTTATACGAATGGTTATGTATATTGTAACACCCCGAATTCAATCGGAATATTTTAATTAATTGATTTAATTGAGAATATTCGTATCTTGGTGTTTTGAGTGTTTTCGGTGGCTTTGTGAATTATTGAGAAAATGTGCATTTTGGACTATTTATTTAATTAATAGTATACTATATGAGAATATTAGTATTATTATTTATTAAAATGAATATAAGTGAAATAAGGGTAAATTGGGCATTATGAAGAGTTAGTAAGGGTGTTATGGGAAAAGCCCAATTGTGTGGCCCAAGTCTAAGTTTGACAAATAGATTTCTGAAGATTTGGGATTCATTTTTGGTTAACCGTGAAAAGAATGGAGGCCAGAGCTCTGAGAAGGGATCAGTGGAGGCAAAAGCTTCGGAAGGTTGTCGGAGTTAATCGTGAAAGCTTTGAATCGGCTAAGGTATGGGGAGTATCGTATTTCATGATTTTCTATGTATGTCTTTCGGTGTGTTTATGGTGGGGTTTATGATTTAGGGTATGTTGGGTTGATTTGGGAGAATTAGGGAAATTGATGAATAGACTTTGAGGTTATGATTGATGGCATGTATCCCTGAATATTGACATGAATTTAGGGAACCTTATCGGACTGTTTGATGTGTAACATGAGAAAGGAAACCTTAGGCCTTCGTGGCAAAACCTTGGATTGTGATATGTTTGACCCTGTAGGAATAGGAATATTCAAATGTGAGTAACTCTGATGCACTCAGAATAGTTGCAGGAAAATAGTGTTTTAGGCAGTGCAAATGTTGCTAGATTGGCCTAATATACCATAGATTTGGTGTCGTGATCGCCGTATGACATTGGGGATGTTCTAATGATGTTTTGGGGGCATTGGGTAAGTAAATCGCATGAGTATTTGGACAAGAATCAGTTTTGGTGCGTAGCAGAAGTTGCTGTCATCACACTGTTCGCCTAGCGAGCAAGCCAGCGAAGGCTCGCTACCAACTCGCCTAGCGAGCGAGCCAGCGAACATAGCAGAGTTCGTGAATATTGATCGTGTGCAGCGATGCTGTGATGTTTGATTCTGGGATTCCTGTGATGAGTTATTATGAGTATGACAGTGGGGTTGCATGAGTAATAAGTGATAGTATGAGGGTTACCGCGAGTGGAATTATGATGAATTAATATGAGGCAATATGAGATGATATTAGAGATTAATATGTGAATACTATGTGATGATATGGCGAATTAACATGAGTAGAACTGTGAAGCTTATGTGATTGATAGGCGATAGTGTGGGGATTACCGTGAGTATAATTTGATAAATCAATATGAGATTATATGGGGGTAGTATTATGAATTAATATGGGATAATATGGAATAATATGACTATGAGCTAATATGTGATTTACACGTGATTATATGATGACATGACGTGTGAGAATGATTAATATGATGGATTATGATGACATGTTATATGATGAGTAATATGATGAATTGTGATGATATATTGTGTGATGATTAATATGATGAATTATGATGATATGTTGTATGATGAATAATATGATGAATTATGATGATATGTTGCATGATGAGTAATATGATGAATTATGATGATATGATGTATTGATGATTAATATGATGAGTTATGACGTATGACGAATATGATGAATATGATGAATATGAGGAATGATGATGCCCTATATGTTGTTATTATGAGGATTATTATGACGTGTGCATCATGCATTCATGTGCATCCGGACTTCGGTTCAGGAACTCGATTACTTTGGCTTCAATCCCACTGTGTGGATGTGAAATATTTTGATGTGCTCCGATCCTATTGATGGGGACCTATGGAGGGTTGATGGCCCAGTGTCCATCGCACTGTGATGATTGGTACCACATGCATTGAGTTGTGTCGCATTGCATCTATGAGTCTTGGTGTATGAATTATGACGTTATGGCCTTTGAGGCATATTTGAAGGATATCAATGTGTTGAATGTAATTATGAGTAATATGTCGTTTATGCATTAATTGTTATATATTGATTATTATGATTTGTCTTACTCACCCTGCCTGTTTGAATGTTACCTCCACGTGGGTAACGTGCAGATGGGCAAGTTTAGTCGTGGATGCCGTCGAGGAGTATTTCGAAGTTTTAGAGTCATTATCCTTTATGGTTAATTTAGAGGGTCTTGCTCTGATATGTAACATCAGGTTGGGTTCTTTGAGTTGATTGTATATCATTGGTTTATTTTACTGATGTTCCCTCACGAGGAAAACATTGAGTTATGTTTTGAGTTCCGTTGTATATGATGTTTTGATGTATTGTGAGAAAACCCGTGTGTTACAGAGTATTGACCAATTTTGTTGACTTTGAGAATGTACGCCCTTTTGTGGCTTTTTAATGAAATTTAATATTTTACTCTGAAATCCGTGTTATTTTGCCGTAATATCTGTGGGGTAGAATAAGGGTGTTACATATATGGAGTCTAAATATTTTTTCTCTAACTGTAGGAGTGCAACATTGGAATGGTGGGAAATTAATTTGGAAGTAATGTTTACGTATAATCATCTCTTGAGGTTGTTAGTGGAGGAAATTACGTAGATTCGACTATTGTGATTTGTGTCCATTATAAAATTGTATTAAATAATGTTTGAAATCATATGTACTATTTGAGGAATTGGTTGTGTTTTAAATTTGAGGAATTCGAATGTACGAGTTGCGGAAAATATATGTAGTTGTTGCAGATAAATCATGTGTAATCATTGTAATACTAATTTATTATGTATTTGATTTTATACACGTCACATTTTAGATTTTTTGTATGTTATTATACAGGTTGAAATTGTATGCCATTCATGGATCTTTTGATAACATGTGAAACACCCTTGATGGGTTCATCCCAAGTTTGTACAAATTTATGATGATCTTTGGGAATTTTTGGTTATTGACTAGTGGCATGTGTATTTTGGGAAGACTGCCACATATCCATACTGTTTTGGTAAATTTGACATGATGGTATGATTTTTAAAACATTTTTTAATCTTGTTCAAAACATTGCATACACTAACAATAGTTACATTTGGTGGTGCAGGTGGAATATTCAAGTTCAATGGTGCAAGATTGTAAATATACTTTTGGAGTGTAAATGTTGCAATATTGTAAATTTACATTTGTCATTATAACAATTTTACTAAACTTTGTTAGTGTATATAATATATAAAATTATTTTGTTAATACAGTCCCAGACTTGGTTAATACATTGTTGGAACTTATGAGGCAAACCCTCATATAACATACGTTCTTGAGTTTTGATGATGACAAAACCCAACCGTAGATGAAGCATCCTTATCAACTCTACCGCTACAAGACAAATGCAATATTTCATCTCTCATATCCTTCCTATATCCATCAAACCTGTTATATTCAATTAAATATATGTGGAAGATTAGTGGTTATGACTAAATGCATAAAAACCACAAAAATATTAAATTTTGCAGATTTATAGGCTATGAGTCGACCAAAGGGTCGGTGCATGAAGCAGTTCATTTGGTCACTAGTCGGCGCACGCCGACCTATGGTCGACGCATACTGTTAAGATTTACAAATTGTCTAAAATTGCAGGTTATGCGTCGACGCATAGACCTGCTATGGTCGACCGTTCGCACGTTGATGCAGTAAATGAAGACTTTCCACTTTGGTCAAAAAGTTGTTAAGTGGGTTGGTTGGTTGGTTACTATATATAGGAGTTTTGTTTATTTTTAACAACAACAATTGAGATTTTGAGTCAATTGCAACCAAAGAAGAAAAGTGAAATAGGTGCCATCAAATTTCTTCAATCTTCATCCTCAACAACACACAACACAACAATTACACAATAATTTTTGGAGTGTTTGTGATTTTTTCAAGGTGATAAGGTCTGAAGTCGTTGATCGGAAATCCAGTTCGGGTTGATTTTAAAGGTAGGTTTTTCTTGAATAAAACCTTGAAGGTTTTGCCCTCCAAGATTCGGAGAATTTGAGGGGTTTTTGATATGGTTCATCTCTACCTACTTCAACTGAGTGGAGGTGATTGAGAAGCGGAAGGCTTCGTCAATCTAGTATCGGAAATCAGTGAAGCGTTCAAGAGTGTTCCGGGTTCGATTTGTTGGTGTTTTGAGATCAGTCGGGCCGAGGGTTTGAAGAACGGAAGGTTGTTCAACAAAGGGTCTGGAATCAGAGGTCTACTCACAACAATCGGAGAACTTGATTCGACTCGAATCAAGGAACAAGAAGTGAAAGCATCATCAACATCAAGAGGGCTTGTTTGTATATTTTGCTTATCAATTCTTGTATAAAAACTTCAACTCTACAAGTGATATCTATTATATTGATCTCAATTCTAGATTTAGAATTGAGGGAAGACGTACCCCGAAGCGAGGACGGCGGGGGAACTGCCTCAACAAATCTTTGTCTCCTTTATTTTTCAGCACTTTCATTTTGGAGTTAGAATTTGAGTAATTTTAGTTTAAGCAATTACATCATAATTTGCATTGAATTGAGGAAGTGGTTTTGACTGTTTTGAACTCTAGTACAATAATAGATTGTACAAGGAATTTGGAATTACTTACTCAAGCCAAAATTCACTTGGAGTGTCTTGCACACCAAGTGTTTGATAAATTGCCTAAACCAAAATTCACTTGGATTATTTGCATAGTTTGCGGTGATTGTGGAGCATTGGAACTAGTCCTACTTATTAGTGATAAAATCAATTTATTAGTGTGACTAGTGTGTTGAATCTATTTTTCGCTCATTATCACTTCCATAAGGCTAGAGGCATATCCGGTCTTCTAATAACAGTTCGTTTTAGACGGTAATTTTTCCACGGCCGTTTCCGCAAAAACAAATATTTTTAAAACCAATTTTTAATTGGTAAGCGCCGACTGAATTTTAAATTGGGATCTATTCAACCCCCCTCCTTCTAGATTC